CCCAGCCCCAAGGCTCGGCCGCCGGCGCCCGCGAGATCTTTCAGAAGAGCCGCTTCGCGCCCCGCGGCGCGCCGCACTTCCGCTTCATCATCGCGGGGCGGCAGGCGGGGCGGCGCTGCCGCGGGCGCCTCTTCCAGACCGCCTTCCCCGCGCCGCACGGGCCGAGCCCCGCCTCGCGCTACGTGCAGAAGCTGCCCATGATCGGCCGCACGAGCCGGCCCGCCCGCCGCTGGGCGCTGTCGGACTACTCCCTGTACCTGCCGCTCTAGGGCGGGCGGGGGCGCACCGCGGGGTGGGCGCCGTCCTGCACTGTGGGGACGACGGGGACGAGAGGCGGGGGCACCCCGTGTGCAGCCCTCCGGTGGGGCCCTCTTAGGTTGTGCCCAGAAACAAAGCGCAGCACAGCGGTGGTGAGCGAGCCACAGCGTGTGATGCAAGTATGATGACGAAACAGATGTGGAAGACGGTCGGGTAAACCGTTTCCTCCCAGTTTGGGCAGTAAAGATGGGGGGAGAGTGAGGCCCTGTCTCAAAAAAGAAAAAAAAATAAAGATGGGTGTAGAACCATAAACTAGGCATTAGTACGTTTACAGATCCGAAACACTGGAGGTATGCTTCCTCCACATCTGGTGACTTGTATTCTGTAGCCCTTACCTGCTTCCTGATGTGGTCACCGGAGGTTTGGTGCCCCCGAACCCGGACCTGAAGATGCCCTCCCCTCACAGGCTCCGAGCGTGTCTCTGGCCTACAAGTCCCTGACACTCGCCGCCCGCCCGCCCGCCGGGAAACTGCTCCCAAGGCAGTACCTGAAACCAAGGACTCACGGCTTCTCTCTGCAGGGCTCCTCCAGGGGTAGCTGTCCCTTGTAGGTGTGGCCACCCTGAAGGGCTCTTTTCTGGCCTTATCCCAAGCCTCAGCCCCCTCACTATGCTACTTTGTGACTGTGGTGTGGGCTTTCTGGCCCTCTAGTGCCTGCTGCTTCTACTCTTCTGGGTCTACAGCAGCTGCCTCGAGGACCTCCAAAGGTGATGCCCTCCCCTGAGGACCAGGGGTTGAGTTGAAATGAGCCCCATCTCGACCACACGTTTGTTTTTTCCTCTCCCAGAGGTCCCGTAGGGCTCCGGATTGCACTGGCTACTTCACCCTTAGCCACCTTCTTGGTCTTACTGTCTGCCTGCATCCTTTCTCTGTGCAAGTCTGTCATCTTGAACAGAACCATTAGGTAATGGGAGGGAGGGACACTGACTCGCTATCTTCACTTTGCAAAATGGGCCCTAGAACCTCCCATTGTATCCCCACCTGTCCTAGTCTGAAAGGGCTTCTTGACATAGATGTGCTGAGGGCGTATTCTACCACTTCCTCTCACAACTGTCTCTTTGACCTCACAGCTGCCCTGAAGCCCAGAAAATTTCATGGACACACCCTGGAACTGCTCTGCAGTTTTATTCCAGCCTACACAATGCTGAAGTGAGACCTAGTCAGTGTCTGTAGCTGTAAGGGCACTCACCAGTGCAGTAGTGGCTTGGCCTACCAGGGACAGGCTGAGGAGTGGAGGGGCCGTCTGCCGAACTGGGGTGGGCGGAAGGAAGGACTGCATCTGAGGTGGTCCTAGTCCACACTCCTGCGCTGTCTCCCACAGGGCGAATCTGGTATTGTGGTGTTCGGTCTTGGTGTTCCAGGCAGCCTCTGGAGAGGAGCGCCTCTGAGACAGATATTCTTGTTGAGCCACACCTGTCTCATTTCTGAAGCTCATGCCTTGTGCCTTCTGCAGTTAAGACCCCTGAGTGTGTGATCCTTTAACCCCACACAGCTGGAGGCTCACTTTTCCCTCCAAGAGGGAGATACCTTTTATCCTGTTGCTGTTTTTGTACCAAAATATATTACTTTCTTCCCCTTAGTATTGAGTTTTTGATAATAAAAGTAGAAGAGGGGCTGGTGAGATGGCTCAGTGGTCTAAAGCACCTACTTGGAACAAGCTTGGCAAACACAGGAACCGCGGTTCAATCCCCCAGCACCACATGCCAGCCAGCCCGCCCCCTGGTGGGCTGAGCTGGCCACACACACACACACACACACACACACACACACACAAATAAATAAAATTTAAAAAAAAGGAAGAAAGTAGGGCTAAACAGGCAAGGAACAGGCAGCTGCCCCCTGACTCCTTTATTTGCTGGTAAACCCCTTTTGTGACTTTGGTTGGCACTGCATCCCTAGTAGTTCACATTCCTCGGGGAGAGGCAATGACTTCGTTCTTTTCACAAGCTCCGATAGGCACCCACAGTGGTATCGAAGAGCTGAGCATTAGGGAAGTGTCCAGCTTTGTCCAAGAGGAAGTAGAAGCGCCGACCTTTGATCTTCAGAGGCAGCATGGCAGGGACTTCCCCTCGGTGGGCCATGCAAGACACTTGGTTCAAGGGAACAGTAAAAGGAGCCCCCAGGCCAAAGGGGGCATGAGTGGTGAGGGTCACCTGCTTCCCTCCGGCTCGAAGCATCACTGAACGCACAGATCGGAGAGAGAAGACCAGACCAGCACCCAGTACCAGGGATCCTACAGGACAAGCAGCGAGTAAGGCACTGGAGGGTTAAGGGTCAGCCATTCCAGTACCTCCGCTAAAGAACTGTCACATGTATGAGCCCCTTTAAAATGGGCTGGTGAGATGGCTCAGTGGTCTAAAGCACCTACTTAGAACAAGCTTAGCAAAGCACAGGGATCGCGGTTCAATCCTCCAGCACCACATGCCGGCCAGCCGCGCCTCCTGGTGGGCTGAGCTGGCTACGCGTGCGTACACACACACACAAATAAAATTTAAAAATACCATCTTGTGTTAATCCACCCGCATTTTTTTCAACCACTGAACTACGTCACCAATACCTGAATGCTTCTGAGTCCGTGCCTCTAACCTATCTGCGTTGGTGGTATGGTGGTGAGCACAGCTGCCTTCCGTGTCTCTAACCTGAAACCCTCCGGCCTCAGTCGCGCCCAGCTCCTAACCCATAGCGCATCGCTCGGCCGAGGAGAGGAAGGGCAGGTCTTCGGGGCCTGGTCTCGCTGGGGCCCGCCTTACCCACGGCGCCGCAGCCCGCGGCCAGCCCATAGCGCCACAGCGCCGAGCGCAGGTCCCCGCCGCGGCCGGAGGCTCCGGGCTCCCGAGCGGGCGCCGGCGGTGGGGTCAAAGCCGCGAGGGCCAGCGAGGCCCAGAAGACGCCCTGGCCGGCGCAGAACAGCCCGAGGACGGCGAAGAAGCGGCCCCGCTCGTGTTGGAAGAGTAGCACGTCCCGCGGCGGCAGCGCCCCGGCGTGCAGCAGCCGCGCGGGGAGCAGCAATGCTCGGGGCCCGCGGAGCCACGGCGCCGCCATGGGGACGGCAGGCGTCCGCTCCGGCGCGCGCTCACTTCCGGCGCGCGGCTCACTTCCGGCGCGCGCTCACTTCCGGCGCGCGGCTGCCGCCCCTCGACGCGCCCTCCCCGCCCACGGAACACGAGAGTCACAGTATCACACTTTTATCTTAAAAAGTAGGGGTCCTGGGGTAATACACGAAGCACCTAGTCCTTGGGTAGTTTAGTGTCAGTCCGCACACGAGCGCCGGCTCCTGGCGCCGCCGCGGCCGCGCCGCAGGGGTCTCCAGGGCGGGCGAGCCGGCGCGGCTGGCACCCTCCGCGCCCCGCCCCTGGCAGCCGCGTCCTGGGGCTATTTACAGCGCCGCCTCGCAGTCACTTCAGGAACGCCACTTCTGGGATCTCGCCCTTGGCCTGGAGGAGAGCCCGCGGAGGGAGGGTCGCTCGCTGGAGGCGCCCCGGCCCGGCCCGGCCCGGCCCGGCCCGCTGCCTCCCAGGGCTGGCCTCCCGCCCGCACCCTCCGCCCTCTGCCCTGGGTGCGGCGTCCCAGGCCTCCGCTGCCGCATCCCAAACCTCACCTTGAGATGAGTGAAGGCCTGGGCAGCCCTGTTAAAGTCCCAGTTGTTGTCCTGCAGGCATCTGGGGTGGGGAGGAGACAGTGTTTTTGAGAGAGGAAGCACAGCCGGCCGTCCCGACCACTGCAGGGTGACCATGGGGACCATGCACTTGTTACACTGTGCCCCGAGTGACAGCAGTAGCCGTGCTCCAGGGCTTAGCAGTGTGCACACTGGGGGAAAGCACTGCTGTAAGAAGAGCTGCAGGGCAGCAGAGGCACTGCTAGAGCCGGGGCCGCGGTAACACTTGGGGAGCAACTCAAATTTGAAAAATAGCCTTCACCAAGACGCAGAAATCAGGTCTGGTAAACACAGCTAGGGATTATCCATTAATTACAGAACAAGAAAACAATTTAGATGAACATGGACAAAGCCGGTGTTTACAATGATTGTGCCAGATTACACTTACGGAGTGCAATAATAATCTGTCTGCTTTTAAATCTTTTTTTTTTTTTTTTTTGCGGTACTGAGGACTCAGGATCTTATGCTTACCAGGCATGCGCTTATTCTACTGAGCTATCTCCTCGGCCCTGCTTTTAAATCTTTGAGATTTAACAGCTTTTTGTTGTGTTTTGAGACAGGGTCGCACTTGTAGCCCAGGCTGACCTCAAACTCCCAATAATCCTCTTGCCTCAGCTGCTCATGGGCTAGGATTACCAAATGTGCAACACCACACCCAGCAAAAAGCTGTTTCTTGAAAAAAATTTCTCAGTACCTTGTGTAAGTACCCTGTGCCTTAGCACCATTAAAATCTCTACACTGTATCCTTGGAAAATACATACCATATGGATATGAAACATTTTCTTTCAGCCCGTAAAAGCGTTTTGTCTTTAAAAATAGACATTCCTCACTGCCAGCCCTTCCTCAGTTTGCCCATGATCCTGCACATGCCCCGGACTCACTTCTGGGACCACTCGAGGTTCATGCCAGACTGGGTAGAGAATGTCTGCAACATTTCCTGCTGCTCAGGGGAGAGGGTGGGCACCGGGCTGGAGGAAGGTGTGGGCGCAGGCATGGCAAAGGCTCTTTGTACTTCTTCAGGGCTGGCATTCCGTACAAATAGCTCATCATTTACAATACACAGCCTTGTGAAAACAACAAAAAACAGAACAAAACCTTCAACAGCTAGATGGACACTATGCTCACTCCCAACATTATTTCTTTCAATACCTCAGTGTCCCCTCCCATGAGCAACTGTCATTCATTTCTCTTTTATTATCTAACCCCACAGAGTTAGGAGGTGAATATTGCTACACATACTGTCTTGCCTATAGCTGGAAGTGGTGAGGCTAGGGTGGAAACCTGGACAGTCAACTCAGGGCCACACTTCATCACAAACACCTCTCATCTCCTGCTGCCTTTGTGAAAACACCCCAAGGACCAATTTTCCCTGCCAGTTATCATGCTGCTGGCCATGGGCAGAACTGGAACCTGGCACGGTGTAAGACTCACCCTGAACTGCTTGCAGGAACAGCGATGAACGTCCTGGTGAAGGCACGCAGAGAATCACGAGCCTTTCCATCTACTGCAATGAGAGAGCAGCAAAGACCCTCAGGCCTGGTTTGCTCTGGGGACACGAGTTTGAGAACACAGGTTCTCAAACTATGGCCACTGATGCAAAGAACCCTAAGTGGGCCAGAGGGAAATGATTCTACCTTTAAATGGGGTACAAGGCCAGGGAGATAGCTCAGAGGCATGAGCGCCTGCCTGGCAAGCACAAGGTCCCAAGCTCAATCCCTGGTACCACACACACAAAAAAGATTCTTCCACATGGGGCATGAGGAGAACAGCAACAGTTACAACTACCAAGGCTAGAGCACCTGTGTGCCAGGCCTCAGGGGAAACTCTAGGCCTCCACACTTTACACTGTACCCCAAGAAGATATTAGGACCCTTATAAGTAAGGAATCTAGCACCAGTGAGATAGCCCAGCAGACTAAGTGCTTGCTAAGGAGAGCACAGGGACTGGGGTTCAATCCCTAGCACCACATGCTCCACCAGCTCCGTCCCGGGGCCCGCTGAGCAACATAGTTTGGGCCTGGTGGTGCACGCTTCTAATCCTAGCGCTGGAGAGGCTAAGAACAGGAGGATCACTATGAGTCTGAGCTGCACAGTGAGACCCTGTACCAAATACATAATAATAATAAACACAGGGGCTGGGGAGATAGCTCAGTAGAATAAGCACTTGGCTGGCAAGCGCAAGGGCCTGAGATCAATCACCAGCTCTGCCAAAAAATAAATAAATAAATAAATAAATAAAAGAAAGAATAAACATAAGTAAGGAATCTAAGGCTCAGGAGTACTGAAACTTGCCCACAGAACTAAGATCAGGGAGAAAGAGAGGCAAATGCAACTGGGAAGAGGGCCAAGGAAGGTCTCACTAGGGGAGGGAACATGCTACAAAGCCAGGACTCAAACACCCTTACCTTCTTTGAAGACTCCATTGACACAAAAGCACAGCAGTGTGCTCTGAAAGAGAAGAGCAGTATCGAGCACAACATGAGCTTCCCAGCCAACGCCTGCGTCCCCTACCCCTCAACTCCAAGCCTTCTGGCAGGCCAGATGTGGGACTTACTGTCTGGGCGCTTATGTCTATCACGAAGGAATTGATGTCATGCTGAGTTCTGGGCAACTCATTGAGGAAGGCAACAACGTTCAGCCGTGTGTGCTTCAGCAGCCGGAACCGCAAGGCTGTGGGTAAGGGAGAAAACAAGGCTGGGGCGGCCATGAACTTCCAAATCCTTTTTTTCCGTCCTCTCCATTCTCTTCTGCTACCCTGTTTTGTGCCTCACACAGACTTACTAGGATCTTTAAGTTTCTTTACATTTCTGCTGTCTTTGCAGTACTCTGTCAAATTGCTCCTGTGGAGGAGGTAGAGAGGCAGGTGGTTAGTACAAGTGGGATGAGCAGGGCACCCCATGGGCAAAGGGCAGTCGTGTGGCATGTACCGTGCAGGGTTCTGGGGTACGAAGGGGATGCTCAGCGAGCAGCAGGCTCCGTCATGGTAGGCGTCCAGGAGACCCTGCCGGTCCCCAGAGTCATAAATTGCATAGTACCTAAGGGAACACAAAAGGAAAGGCTGTGATGAACTGTGCAGGCACAGACAAACTGGTGGCTCGGCTCCCAGCCTCAGGACCTGAGGTACTTACTGCTGCAGGAAGTGCAGGACTAGACTCTTCAGGTTCTCTGTGCCAAAGTAGCTGCCCTGAAATCAAGCTGACGTTAGTGTAGGTGCCTGGAAGCCGCTATGCTCTCCCCACACTCACACCCCCGTGGCCCCCTTCACCTTGCAGGGGGGCAACACTGTAGGGGCTTCCACATCAAAGGCAATTGGCGGGGGTAACTCATGGCCATCCTGTGGAAAAAAGGGCAGCTGAGTGTACCTCAGACAAAAATCAAAGGCTGACATGTAAGCAGATGGCAGAGTTAATCACGAAGAGGTAAGTCAAAGGCAAGGCATAAAACCAGGTCTGGTGGCCCAAATCTGCAATCTCAGGATTTGTGAGACCAAGGCAGGAGAGAGCGCCCTGGCTACACAGTGAGTTTAATGCCATCCTCATGTCGTGAGACTCTGAAAACACACGCAGTATTCAAAAACACTGATTTTTGCAACTTCTGCCTAAAGGTATTTTTGCGGGAAGCAATTTTAATTTTTTTTTTTTTTTTAACATTTATTGTGTGTGTGTGTGTGTGTGTGTGTGTGTGTGTGTGTGTGTGGCCAGCTCAGCCCACCAGGGGGCGCAGCTGGCTGGCATGTGGTGCTGGGGGATTGAACCATTGTCCCTGTACTTTGCCAAGCTTGTTCCAAGTAGGTGCTTTAGACCACTGAGCCATCTCTCCAGCCCCGGGAAGCAATTTTAAATTTTAAATTTTTTAATTTTTTTGTGGGAAACATTATTACCTCTATCAGCTTTTCAAAGGGAGCCAGCTCTTTAAAGGCCATATAAAACTGCCTCAGCAAGATCTTGGCAGTGGGAGATGTATGCTTATTATGAAAACAAGAAATATCTTGGACTTACCAGGCGGAGTAACTTGGGAAATCGTTCCCGAACAGCGCTGTCAAGAACAGGACAGAAGTGAGTGACACCTCGAGCCACCATGCCTGCAGGGCTGCTCTAGGAGCAAACACATCCACACTGGGAGCAGCCCCTCCCATCTGCTCATCACAGGGCCCAGACTGCACTTAGGGTAGGGCGATACCCGCTGGCTCCAGTACCCAGACCACCAGAAGGCCCTGAGGACCAGCTCTTCCTCTGCCCGCCCGAGGGCAGCAGGCAGCAAGCACATGGCCTGGGCCTGAAGCCCAGGTCCTCCTTTCCCGCCTGGCCCTCCTTACCTTCCTCCTACTCACCTGTGCAGCCCCGGGGAGAGGGAGTGGGGTGGGAGCCCAGGGGCTCCGCTGCCTCACCAGGTGTCCATCCGTCCTGCCAGGTCTGGCCTTGGCCAAGACCAGAACACACCACAGGGATGGCACAGTATGTGGGGGCAGGGGATGGGCAAGATGGGCTTAAGAAAAGTGGTAACAGAGGAAGAAAGGAAAAGGAGACAAAGAAAAAAGCAGGCTGGGACAGGGGAAGGGAGAGTCAAGGGAAATAGAAGTAGAACAAAAAGAAAGAACTAGAGAGCAAAAAGCTCTCAGAAAAGAGGAATACAAAGCGACACCCTGATGCAGCCCTTTCCTTCAACTGCCCCCGCCCCATGGCCCAAGGGCGAAAACAGGCAAATCCTGTTGCAGGGTGGTGGGCAGGCAGGTGGGCAGTGGCCACTGACCAGGTCTGTCTGCTACCTGGGTCCTGATCTGAGCCAGGCGTGGGAAACCAAATAGCCATGGGGGCTGGAGACTTTCCTCGGAGGGTGAGGGTTCAGGCCCCTGCAAAGTTGGGGGGGTAAGGGTCTGTGCCCCACCTCTGTCGGCCCCCAAGTTCTCTCCTGATGGCCCCTCTGCGACTGTGCCTGTCTTAGGTTGTTCCTTCCCTGAGGAATCTTACCCGTCTCTGGCTAACCAGCCATCCTCCGGGGCCAAACAGGGTGACATGCAGTGCGAGTGTGGGGCAGCACCCCACAAAGGTGTCCTGTCTCCTTGGTGGCCTGTGCCCCCGTGGCCTCCACGCCCAGCACAAGCCTGGAGATGCCCGTGCCTGCTGGCGGGGCCTGGCTTCTTGTCACATATTTTGGGAACCCAGGTTTCTTTTCCAGGGAGGACCCAGCTCACAGTACTTGGAGAGCTAGCAAGACAGATGGCTCAGTTCCAGCCTCCAGGGGCCTCTGCATGGGCTGCCAAGTTCAGGCCACAGCCTTTGGCTGTGATCACAAATAATACCCTCTTGACACAAAGGCAAGAGGGGTTATTGTAAGACAGGAGGGGCCAGCCTGCTCAGCTTGAGTCTTGGTGAGGACACCAGGCTGTTGGCCCAAGATAACCCCACAGGTTGGGACATATACCAGACACTTCCAATCAAAGTACCAAAGCAGAAGTGCCCTTCCTGGAACAACAGGGTAGGGAAGAGTCCAGAAAAGGCTGCATTCAGGAGGGAGGAGGAAGACTACAGAACTAGCACACAATGGTCGTTAAGGAAGCACATGAGACCTAGGGACAGAGCTGGAAGACACAGACAGACAAAAGGGAGGAGCACACATCTTCCCAGGGGATGGAGATGAGGGGTCCATCTTAGGGCTGCGTGTCTCCTGCAGATGGCACTGGTCAGGGTATGTTACCTCAGCCTCCCAGAGGGTGAAGGTCCCCAGGAGGGGGGACAGAGGCCACCACTGACCTGATGTAGGTGGACTGGTCCTGGAAGGTGTCACACAGGGTATTCCCATCAAGCCATAGCTCCTCCAGTTTCAGCCCTTTTATCTTGTCCAACTCCCGGTCAGATTTTAACTGCAAAGAAAGGGAAGGAGTGGGGCACAGGATGGCAAGGGGAGCCGTGCATGTAGCCCCATCACTAACTCTCCTCCCCCACAGCAGGCACAGGTTCCACATCCTCCCCAGCACCAACCCAACCCTCACTTCATTTCCAGAGAGGTTGAGGATCTTCAGGCTGGGCGCCTTCTGCACGATGCCAGACATGTCATCCAGTTTGTACAGCCTATTACTGCTCAAGTTCAAGGACAATAGCTACGTGGAGAGCAGAGGTGGAGGGCAGGGTCACTGGCGAGTGGCCCAGGCTAATCTGAGCCCTGGCCATCCTGCCTGCCCCAGCCAGCCAGGCCCCCACCTCAGGGATGTTCTCCTCAATGATTCGTAGAGTTGCTGCCATACAGCTTCGACGATTCAGCACAACATCAATATTCTGAGCCACCAAATCTTCAGGACACAAGTAGTACGAGGGAGAGACCAGTATGAGAGACAGCAGCTGGGCCAGCATCAGCCCAAACCACCCTCACACTCGCCCCGCCCACCGGGGCTGAGAGTCACCACCACGCAGCATACCTGGGTCTGAACGCAGCCCCTTGAGGTCAAGCGCCTGCTGGGAGCCATCATAACGCTTACTCATGACCAGCTGCAGAACATGGGGCTCAGAGTCACTGAGGTGGTATAGGGGAAGAGGAGGAGGCTGGTTTGGAACATCCGTCCCGAGAGGCGGCCTTACCTTTAACTGCTCCACCTGTTCTGGCTTCAGTTCATTCTGTACAGTGTGGGGTGGGGCAGAGGCGTTGATGATGATAGAGATCTAGAGAAGAGAGCAAGCAGCATAAACTCCAGGAACCCCTGAGCCCTCAGACCCATGCCACCTTGAATACCAGGCCCTACTGCAGGTGCACTGAGCCCATGCACATACCCTACGGTTGTCCCGGTCTACAATCTTGTAGTTCACAGCCTTTAATGCAGAGGCAGTGCTGGCATCCTCCACAAAAAACTGTGCCCGTGTGTTCTCATAGTGAAACTGCAAGAGGAGCAAATAAGACAGCTGGACTTAGCCGGGCACAACAGTAATCCCGGCACCATGGGAAGCTAAGCAAAGAGGACGTGAGTCTAAAGCCAGCCTGGGCAATTTACAGACTTAGAAACACCCTGTCTCAAAATACAAAAGAAAAAATGGCTAAGGATTCGGCTCAGTCCACAGGCCCTGGGCTCAGTCTCCGTACTACAAACAAAACAGAAGAAAACACAACATGAGACTTACAGCCCAGAACTGCACCTAACCAACTGGTGCCCGGGTGTGTCTCACTTACCTCCACAGGAGTGAAAGGGATGCTGCATTTGCTCTGAATCATGCTCAGAAGCCACGACTTCTCATATTTTCTGCCATAAGGAATCTAGCAAGGAGAAAAAAAACCCACCATGGACCAAGGCAAGAGAGCCCACCTTACCCAGCACTCCTCTGTGCCCTCTGCCAAACAGACATCCCATAGGGCTGGGGTGTAGCCCAATGCTACAGCCTATGCTACACATGTGCAAGGCCCTGCACTGGTCCCAGGACCACAACGTTTAAAAATTAAAATTAGGCATGGCGGAGTACACCCGTAATTGTGGCACTCAGGAGGCAGGAGTTTGAGGTCAGCCTGCACTACATAGTTCAAGCCCAGCCCGAACTGTATAGTGAGACCCTGTCTATATAAATAAACAAACAAAATAAAAATATTCTTGGAATGAATACTAGTTGTAGATTTTCCACTTGAAAAACAAATAAGATTCCTATCTTTTCCTGTACACGTATTATTCCTTAAACAAACCAAGAGCTGGGGGGCCGGGGAGATGGCTCAGTGGAATAAGTGCTCCCCTGGTAAGCGCAAAGACCTGAGTTCAATCCCTGGTCCCACCAAAAAAAAAAAAAAAAAAAAAAAAAAAATCAAAAGCTGGGTGTGGTGGTACATGGCTGTAATCCCAGCACTTGGGAGGCTGAGGCAGGAGGACTGCTTTGAGTTTCAGGCCAACCTAGACTGCTTAGTGCAATCTTGTCTCAAAGTTTATTTACTTTTGGTACCAGAAGTAAAACTCAGGACCTTGTGCTTGCCAGGCAGGTGTTGCATCACTGAGCTATACCCCTGGCTATTTTAAATTCTAAAAATTGGGTTGGGGTTATAGCTCAGTGGCACAGTGTCTACCTGGCAAGCACAAGGTCCTGAGTTCAATTCCTGATACCAAAAAAATTCTAAAAGGTCCAAGATATTAATTATACTCTCTCTGCCCTAGAGAGTTCTAGAGAGGAGAGCCCAAACCCCACTCAGTTTGAGACCAATGGAACACTCAGAGGAGTCACCATACTTTCTGTGACCCTGTACCCTCTCCCTTGAACTCACACTTATGTTTTGTTTTTCTGTATTTAGTACAGAGTCTACAGGGTCTCACTACACAGATCGGACTCGTACTGATCCTCCAGTCTTCAGCTTCCCAAGCTCTGGGATTACAGGCACATGCCACCATGCCCAGTCTCAGCTGCCATCTCAGTGCACCCAGAGTGTAGGGCCAGCATGGCAGGCCGAAGATTGGACCTCAGATCCTGCATCATACTTAGGTCTTTTAAAATAAGAAAACATGGATACCACCTTGTAGACTTAAAAAGTAAAGAAGACAGACGTTTGTAAAAAAAAAACAGAAAACACCTTTCTTCACCCACCCCACCTCTCCTCTCTGATCCACTTCCCCAAGGTACTCACTGTAATTTTAAACCAGTTCTTGGAGGTCCCATCCTGGCTGGTACCAGCCCCTCCTCTCTCTGGAGGGGCTCTGTCTCTCCGTACAGTAACATGTATTCGCTCTCTATCATGCCAGGAATCACCCCGTCGGTTAGGTCGAGAGGTGTAGGGGTTGCTGTGGGAAAGCAGAAAATTCAATGTCTGCAAATACTAGGAAGAACCATCTTGTTCTATTAGCATAACTAAGTTATCTCTCCAACCATCATGCTAGTCCTACCCAGTATCACTCTTCTAGCTAAAAAGAGAAACAAGAACAAAGAGAGGGCAGTAAGATCTCCTGAGGCACTGAACTCAGAGAGGATCAACTCTCACTTACTATCGTACTCGGGGACCATCCTGGGCTTCACTCATAGCCACATCACCGTCATCTTCCTCAAGCCGGGAAGGCCGAACACTGGAGCTGCCTCTTCCAGACCGACGGTTCCCATCACCATACTTCCACCGGAAAGGACCTCGGCCCTTTTTTCTTCTTTGAGGGAAGCTAACACGGTCATCATGCTCTGGAGGTGAAAAGGTACCCAAATCAGTACATTAATCACTGATATAACTATCTTGTTGCAACCACCGCTTTTTAGCATCCTGCACTATCAAAACAGAAACATGCTACCTAGGCCACCTCCATGCAACTGTTCCACCTTTCCAGGGGGTAGAACTCTTTCTGGGATGTCAGTATCAGGGGAAAGTGCCTTGAAAATGTGTAGGGCTCTTGAAAAATGAAACAGAGACAGGAACCACAAAGAGAAGCAGAATGGAGAAGAGTGAGCAACCCCAAAATGTAACTGGCCACAAATCTGACCCCTGAAAGCTACCTTAAATTTACCAGTCAGTATTCTTTCTCTATAGTACAAAGGGCAGTTACAGATATAACCAACTTGAAGGGATTCTAAAGAAATCTACTCGGGCCTGGGGAAATGGCTCAGCAGAATATGCACTTGCATGGCAAGCGCAAGGTCCTGAGTTCACTCCCCCACCACCAAAAAAAATCTACTTGTTCTCAAACTGCCACTCCGCAGTTTGTGAAATGTTTTTGGTTTTCTTAACCAGAAATGCTCTTGAATTTGGAAGAGAACTATGACACTGAGGCTCTGGTGATAACTTTGTATGATGGCATTTAACCAAGGGCCTGGAAATTCACTCCAAGAATGTGACCTGACTCCCGTTATGCAGAAACAACTTGTACAGGACAGGGTCTTGCTATGCAGCTCTGGCACGCATTCAACTCACCATCCCCTTGTCTCGGCCTCCTGAGTGTTGGGATTACACGTGTGTCTAAAACAAGTCTATGCAGCCTGATAGGTGGCTCAAGCCTGTAACCTTAGCATTCTTGAGGCTTAAGTGGGGCAAATGCAAGTGCCAGCACATCCTGGACAACTCAACAACTTGGCAAGGCCTTGTGTCAAATAAAAACCAACAACAACGGAAGGGGCTAGGGATGGAACTTCGTGTGAAGGCCCGGAGTTCAATCCCCAGTACCTGGGGGGAAAATTCTTACTCCGTGGGCCAGTGGAAGTAGCACAAACCCAGTGCTCTGGGAGGCTGAGGCAGGAGGGTGTCAAATTCGAGCCTTTCCTGGGTAGCTTCGCGTCTCGAAAACTAACAGGCTGGGCCGTAGCTCAGCGGAGTAAAAAAAAAAAAAAAAAAAGACCACAGAGGTGTAGCTCAACGGTAAGCTTCCAGACCCCAGCACAGTCTTACAGTTTTAAAAATACAGTTTTTAAAAAGCCCTTGATTTCCATAAGCCTACTTAATCCCTGGCACGGGCCTCAACACACAAGTGGAAGGCGCCCAGGCGCAGAGGAGACACAACACACAAGTGGCAGGCGCCCGGCCCCGCTCAGGGTGACAGGC